ATGCCCATATAAGCACCTCATACTTCCATTTCTAAAGAGATTGGCTGTGTAAGTTGGTGTATGTGCAGGTAGAGTTAGCAGTCATGCTGTGTCTGAATTGGTGTTTCAGTGGACTGACTCACATCCTCTTGCAGTGAGAGAGATGGCAATGCGGCCTTCTCCATCACTGTATTGTGACATGGATGGATGTGTCATCTTCCCAGATCCTTGCTACTGATGACTCCCATGAAAACAACAGCAATTGCCAGTTTGGGTCTTTTTGTGACTCATAGGTAATGACTCACCAACAGTGTTGTCTTTAGCCATTGCTCTGGCTTATATTCAGCATCATTAGCTCATCTGAGCCTAGACTGCATATATTCCACTGTGGAAGGAGATGCTCCTGAACTGTAGACTATGGACATGGTTTTACATTGAGTTCCAGATGGGCCACATAGGCTTTCCTGGGAGACTATGAGGTTTAATATTAGCATGATTACTTCTATCTGATAGAACAGTGATTGTAACAATAGTGAACCAGATGCCCTTGCCTTATTTATTCAGTGAGAAGTAGGAGAAAGAGGTGAGTGGCGAGGACCCTGCTTGTTGAGGAAGCACAACTGATGCACACCTGTGTCTGTGATGCAGTGCTTTATATCAATTAGCTCTTATGGCCTGCATAGGCCTGAATTAGTATTATGGGAGCAACGGAACTGAGCCAAAATGGGAAGCAGTTTTCACAGCTCATTTATAAATTCTAGGGTGCAGTTCACTGTGTTACTGGTTTTTAATCTTTAGATGTTATAGAGCCTTTTTTGAGCTTGAGAGGTACAACTGGCAATTTTGTTGTTTTATGCCTTCAAGTTGTTTCCAACTTTCTGTGACTATAAGGTGGTCTATCTTGGGTTTATCTGGGACTGAGAGTATGTGACTTGTCCGGGTCATCTAGTGGGTTTCCATGGCCAAGTGGGGAATTGAATTTTGGTCTCCAGAGTTGTAATCCAGCACTCAAACCATTAGATCAGTGGTTCTCAACCTGTGGGTCCCAGCCAGTTTACCAGCTGTTAGGATTTCTGGGAGTTGAAGGCCAAAACATCTGGGTACTCACAGGTTGAGAACCACTACATTAGATTATGTTGGGATTAGCTGGGATCAAATATAGCAAATGCCCACAGATATATGCTTTGTGTCCTACTTACTATACACATTGGACAGGGTTGTTGTGGAAGTTAATTTTTCTTCCCTGTCAACTGAAATCTAGCAATCACTGCTGTGTATGTGTTTGTGTGCATAAATACATATGTATGCATATGTAGGTTTTAGCTTCTTCCCTTGCTATCATTATGAACAATGTTGCTTTTAATGTTAAAGTCCCTGCATACTTGCTAAAGATTGCTATCTCTGGGTATGGGTTTTTGCCACTAGTTTGAACTCCCTTGCTGTCCCGGGGCCAGTAATAACAATGTTGGAGCAATGAGAGTAGGAAACAAGGAAAATTGAGTTGGGGTCACATCTGGAACAATCAAGAACTGTATGTGACCACTAAGCTGTGCTCCTCTCCAGTAGAATATTGCATAGAGAAAGCAAAGCTGTATTCCAGAGTGAGTGAGGCAAATTACATAACCCTTTGCACAGGCATAGATATGAGCGTTGCTGCAGAAGGGCCTATATTATAGCACTGTGAGAAATCTTATGCACATTCTTCTTGTGTGGGCCATTTCCCTTCCACTTGCAGTTTTTTTTGGATCCAACAAGTAAAGTAGTGGTAGGCAAAATATAGCCTTCCACTTGATGTTGGGCTTCAAAACTCATCAATCCTCACTGCTGGATCTACTGCCTAGAGCTGCTTGGAGTTGTGATCCAATAATGCTTGGTTGGCCACACTAGGCTCACTTTTGCAATCAATGTTTTATTAATTCTTGCACTATAATCTCCATTTGCTTTGTCAAATGTGGCATATTTTGTAGGAACATTTTGTGCTGAAATAGCTAGGTGATATACCAACTAAATTTAAAACCAAGCTGGCTAGCTTTTCATCTTCCAGAGGGATACAGCATATCTTTCATCAGATTTTTTATCTCTAATTTCTGTTATTAAAGTGGTTGCTTCAAATCTAATGGCATAACTGTACATTTGGCCCTCTATACCCATGTATTCGGCATCCATGGTTTCAACCACCTGTAATTTTTTTAAAATTAAAAAAATCAACTTGTTTTGCCATTTATGAGGGACACAATTTGACTATACCATTGTATATAATGGGGCTTAAATGTCCATTGATTTGGGTCTCAATAGAGAGTCCTGGAACCAAGACCTAGTATTTAGATGCTTTCTCCTACCACAAATTGACATATTGATAAATTGACAAAATTATGTCAATTCCAAAGCATCAGTACCTCTGGAGAACTTGAAAGCTCATGTTTCTAATTACCATATGTTATCCAAAAGCGTTGATGAACTTTCTGAGCTCTTGGCATAGAAACAGTTGGCAAGGTTTTTATTCTTTCCTATTATACATGCAGGTCTTCATCCTCCTTTACCCTTCTGAAAGGTACAGGAACCATGGGAAAGCACTCCATTAAAAACCAAAGCACAAACATCTATTTTTCTTCTTACTGCCATTTTCATATTCTGCATGACAGCTCTTCAGATGTGTGAAGACTTCTATTATGCTTTGCTTTAATCTTCACTTTGCCAGCCTAAACATGCCCAGCACTTTCAACTTGATTTCCCATCCTTCTTTAGTATTTGTTATTATCCACAAAAATATCTTTAGGTTTAGCAAAGGCAAGTGTTCTGAGTAGAATAAATGCAGTCTATCAGTTACTCAGATAATGAATTTTCCCCTTATTTGTCTCTGGCTTCCCAATGGCTCACAAAGTAACAATAATACATTTCTCTTGAAATTCATTTTTACTAATCATTTCATACCTGTTCACACGTTGTTGAAGTTGCCTAGTAGATTTCTGAAAGAAAGTACTTCAGAAGCCATGCAGTTTCACGATTTCCAAAATGTGAAGCCCAACTCAACAAAACAGAATAGTTAGCCCTCTTCATCAATGGCTTCTGTATCCACGGATCCAACCATCTATGGCTTGAAAATACCAAAAAACAAAAGCAACCCTTAATTTTGCCATTTTATATGAGGGGCATCAGTTTGCTACACCATTGATTATGACAGGACTTAAATATCCACAGATTTTGGTATCCACAGGAGCTCATGGAATGAAACTCCAGCTAATACCAAAGATTCATTGTAGTTATATCTAGTACATGTGCACCTTCCCAAGATTTGAGATTTTATGTTTTTCCCTTCATTTCAAATTACCTAGTTTTCATGTCAATTTTTAAAAAATGGCTAAATACTTATATTTAATTACGTAATATCTTAGCTTGCATCAACATTTTAAACTATTATAATCAGACTTATGGTTCAGTGTGATGTGGTAGTGGTTGTAGAGTATTGGTAGGGATGTGAGAAAGGATGCGATCATACATGCACTTTCCTTGGAGCATGCCTCTTTGAACTCAATAGAAATGTACAGGATTGTGTTGTTGCTTTCTGCCTTAAGTGAAATGGCAACTCTACACAGACACTATGATGGAAGTGAATTGAAACAAACCTGTTTTTCTGTACAGCACCCACACAAACACCCCAGGAAACAGGTTGGGGCTGAGACAGTGACCATCGTATTCACTGATTAAGGATTGGAACTGAATCTAGGAAGTGAGTATCCACAACTAGACAGTTGGCAGAAAATGCAAGGCTACTTTCTTAACCGGTTTACTGGATGCACTGATGTACATATCCATGTTCATTCAGGATCATTTTGGTTTCCAGCCCTGCATGGGATACTCTGATTAGCTGAAGCACTTTATGTGGCTTTTCCTGTACTTTCTGATGAGTTTTTAGTGCACAGCTTCTATCTTGATGTGCTCTGCAGCACACATTGGGTGTGTATATTTTGTGGACAACCTGCCCTCAAGCTGGCTTTGAATTTCATTACAGTGTCTATGTAGAAGCACCCTAAAACATATTGGGGTCTGTGGAGTCAATATCACATTCAGAACCAATACTCTGGTCTTTCTTTTTAAAAATCAGAGTGTGAATATTATAAAAACGTCTTTCTTCCATTAAATATATATATAGCTTCCTCCCTGGGAATTGCCAAGAATAGTTGAATTGTCTGTCTGATGCACGTGCCTTTGGAATTAAAAAAAAATGTTATTTTGTGCTTCCGTTTACATCATTTTCTGTGGATGAAACTGTTGAAAACTGTGGGAAAATTCTGAAGTCGTTGCTTTGAGGATCTGTACCTTTAATCTCTTTGACCCAAATATAAATCTGAGAGCACTCAGTTCATTGTGATTACAACTTAAAATAGCATTGTGTGATTTATACTACAATATTGTGAGATGTAATTGGGTGGCACTTGCGTCTTGTTAATAAATTATTCACAGCTCTTCAAAAGAGAGCAATAAAATGCTGCGATGAAGTAAAATATGTGGCATGAACTGAAATTCCGATATGTGATTGTTTTGTTTGCTTTGTCCTGTCATAATACTGGCATGTTTACAAGCTCCGTTGATTTCTGGGTTACTACCAGGGAACAGTGCAAAAAAAAAAATGCAATGAGGATACAGCTTTTTGAAAATGTGCACAGTGTGCCGATAAATCTCTCTTTTTTTGTACATGTAATGTATAAGTATGTATGTATACATACACACACAAACATACATATTTAGTAGATCTACCTTGCTTGATTGTTGCAGTAGCTGTTCCAGAGAACCTTAAATATATATCTGCTTTGCAATTCTTTATTATCTCTTTCTGATAATCTTCTTTTGCCTTGTATTGTGGAGCATTCTGTTCAGAATAGCAGCGTTGTCTGTTCAGAAGTGGTCGTGCGAGCAAAATTGGATAACCTGGATATGTCATTTTGCCTGGCAGTGTGTGTGTGTGTGTGCATTTATGCATGCGCCTATGCATCCCTCTCTCTCTCTCTCTCTCTCTCTGTCTGTCTTTGCTTTTTCTCTCTGTGTTTCTGTTTCTTGCTGTGTTGCATAATGGCTGTTTTCACCTTTAATTGTCCAGAGATTAAGCAACGACATCATTATCATCCATAATGGCAACCCAAGGGTTTATAATATCGCCAGCGAGGAGCTGAAGGATGTGGCTTGCTCTGTTTGGATGATGTGGGATTGCCTTAAGCAGAAAGCTTAGTGTTTTCGGATAGCCTTAGCAGCATCACTGATGTAGCTCTGCCAGTCCGTTTCACTAGTAGAGGAGAGTAACGGCATAAAGGGAGTGAGAGAAATATATTGAAGAGCTGGTATTTTGAAAGAAGCACGCTCATCTCTTACCAGTGGAGAGACCTGATGTTATATTTGCTGGCCCAGAAGATGCCTGAGGGATAGATAGCCAAGTGTGATGCTTTGTTACAAGGCAGGGGATGCTCTCTGGGAATAAAAAGGTCATGCATCTTGGAGTCGGTGAGCCATTCCAGTCTCTAAGTCACCAGGTACGGCCTTGTGGTTTATGTTGCTTTTACCAACCATAGTTTAATTTAGTATTTCCAGTATTGCCTGTAGCTGGTTCAGTCTAAAACAGGAGCACGCATTTATTTTTAGATGTTAATGCACAATTGCAATGACTTGTCTAAAATGCAAGAAAGGCTGTGTGTTTGAGATATCAAAAAGGATGGCATTTTTTAAAAGTGAGGAACTATTCTAAATATTTTGAAAAGGTATTTGAAAAGAGAGAGCAAGTCTGTTTTATATATGTCCATGTCCAGTAAAGCATATGTGTTAGCAGCATAGCACAACATATGGTACATATGTGACATAGGACAGTAGATGGAACAATGACTAACATGGGTTTTGTATTTACCGGCATCTTAGATTACCTTTGCAAAGTTCATTCACATAGTAGCACGTTAAACAGGGCTGAACATAACTTCAATGAAAGCACACTGTGAGCTATCTGTTTGATGAAAAAGGACTAAAAACAGCTGGTTGCATTCAGTGATAGGACAAAGTCATTTGGCAGAACCTTGACCCCTTTCTTATTTTAGAGCCATAGCCTGTGAACGTTTTGTTTTGTTTTGTTTTAGCAAGGGCTTGTCTTGTTCTTGGAGAGAGAACTACGATTCTCCTACCTTTTAGGGATAATTGTACAAACAAATGGCTGGACAGAAAGGAGTGATTTTGAAAATATTGAAAAAGGTTGCCCTTTTGAGGGGAGGTCGAGTTGTGCATCTAAGCAGATTACTATAATGTTCTTTATTCTTTTACCTGTAATCTTCCAGAGTCCCATTGTTATCCTAGGTTGTGCTACTGAAACAAAGTTTCTGAAATGGAAGGCAGCCGGGTCTGCATTTTATGTAACCTTTAAACCACCACTGTGTCAATAGCAGACTATTTCTGTGTGCTGCTCGGGGTGGAAAAAAAGAAATTGGAAGCACTATAATCAGCTTAAGCACTTGCATTGCAAATGGCGCTGAATTGCCAAAGGAAGGGGCTGTCGTTTGTGCATCATGCGTAACGTGTAAGGAGATTATATCTGAAAGTAGGCACAAATGTGTATGCTCTGGCAACAGTTTTGTATATCAACTTATCGGCTTCTGTCTTGTTTGCTGGACATTTCCATGGTAACCGATTAGGACAGGTTTTAAAGTGGAGAATAATATTGAGAAGAACATTACTTATATTCATATAGGCTTCCATGTACAGCTGATGCTCAGTTTGCATAGCTAATGTTCAGATAGGTCTCGGAGGTGAACCCAGAAGGCCAAAGGTTTTTGAAAGCTCATCTATATTTATAATTCAGAAGGAGAGCTGTATTGAGAAAGCACATTTCCTGGAACTGAAAATTAAAATGTGGATGTATATTGCTTCCTCAGCTACTTTTGTGGTCTGAAGCTATGGCTCACTTAGGAATCTGGTTTATTTTCAAGTCAATCATTTTTAATTAGAAATATATATTAAAGCAATATTTGGTTTGCTGCTGGTAACTATAATTGATATGTTTCCTAGAGCACTTATCCAGCTTATTTTTGGATTAACAGTAGGGGTGACAGACACATGCTTAATCTTGATTAGTTTTTAGAAGGGTTTCAGTGTTACTTTTCCAGTTGCCACAAAACCACATTTAATCTTTCTAGAATTGAATTTTGGAGAATTTTAATGCAAGGAGTACATTCTGTTTCTTGGCACCAAACTAGAATTCCTGTGAGTTCAGGTATACTAGTGTTTTATCAGGCTAGCTATGCTACCTCTTACCAAAATAAGGAGCATATCATTCTCTTATGACTCATAAAATCTTGTGTAGATCTGTCCTGGAGTTATTCTCAGGCCTTGGGAATAATATAAGCTTTTTAGCAATTGTTGTGAAAATGCATGTCTTTTTACTTACTTTACCCCCATCCCCGGCTGCCCATGTTGACTGTCCCTAGTTGCCTTTCTTATCCTTAGTGACATCATCAGACATGATTTGATTATCTGTGTGGTGTAATGACATCACTACATCAACTGCATGATCCCTGATTGGTTTGGATTGGCCATTCAATGAATCTAGGAAGACAAGAATGTCATTGGGTACATCTGTACTGTAGAAATAATGCAGTGTGACACCACTTTTGCCATGGCTCAATATTATGGGAAAATGCTGCTGTAGTTTTACAAAGTCTTGAGACTTCTCTGCCAAGAGCTAGTGCCTCACCAAACTACATCTCCCAGGATCCCATAGCTCTGAGCCATGGCAATTAAAGTGGTGTCACACTGCATTAATTCTGCACTCATTGAATCTACAATAACACAGAACATGTTTGCAGAAGAACATACATTCACAAATGAGTAGTTTCTCAAGATCACTCCTCCCACTTTTCATCTGAGAAGTGAAAGAGGAAAAGTTCCACCTCAGGTTTGATCCATTCAGATATGATCTTCTTAACACATCAAACATGGCAATCAGTTGTGTGCTTTTGTGTTTATACATTCCATTTTTGCTTTTCCACTCCATCTCTGACTAAGCAGAAAACTAAAGCTAGTTATTAATTAGCTTAAACTTGTTGTAGAATTCTGTTTTGAGAGCAAATCTTGGCTTTGCACAAACCATAGTTTCCCTAATTCAACCAATTGAGGGCAAATTAAAATTTCCTTTTGTCTATGGGAGGCAGATATTGCATATTAAGGGAGAAATATGAGTGCTGTGCTATGGGATGATCAAATAGAATACTTATCTGGATATATCAATATTTGATAATTTAGCCCTACAGTCCTTAGATATGAAGCTTATGAACATTTCTTCAGTTCTGATACATGTAGATATCAGTGCTGGTAGATATGATGATAACCAACCTGAATCCCTTCAGGGAGATAGGGTGGGATATAAATACAGTTTTAAAATTATTATTATTATTATTATTATTATTATTATTATTATTATTTTCTGCTATTACTGTTGGCCAGTGTTTCTCACATTCTTCTCCTTCAGGTGTTTTGGACATCAGCTCCCAGAAATCCCAGCCAGTTTACCAGCTGTCAGGAATTGTGGGAGCTAAAGTTTAAAGCATCTGAAGAAGAAGAGTTTGAGAAATATTGCAGTTGGCTATGGAAAATATTGGAATGAGTTTACAGTGGGAGGAAATGGGATAGTGTTACAGCTTTAACATTAACACAGAGATTAACATTAATGTTGACAAAAGTCAAGAGTTTTGGACCTTTTGTCCAGGCATCAGATTAAGGAAACCTCTGGAAAGTAGTTTCCCTAAATGTATTTATGTAGAAGATAGCTTGCTTTATAGTTAATTTGATTTATAATGGAGAGATTGGTTTTGACAGGAAATGACAATAGAACAGTGACTACAAGTTTATTTGCAGATAATAAAAAAGTCCCTGTTCTCAATCTAGTGTTACCACTTAGAGAGAAGGTTTCAAAACACTGAATATTGTTCAATAAAGTATTGAGGAAGAAGATAATAAATCTACTGCCTATGATGAGTTGGGCTTGAAGATGAGCAGTATATAGAATTTTCTTTTGTTTTGTTTTAAGCTTTGTAATTTACAGAAAAACTGAAGGAACTGCTAGTTGACTACAGAGGTGAACTGTGAGACCCAATTAGACTAGAGGCACTGAATCAATGTGATTTACATACATTTTGCTTTACCAAATTTATATTGATTCACTAGCTATGTTCTCATTAAGGCTAACCATTTGGTTTAAACTTCTATCTTTCTGTTATAAAGTCTGCACATGGGGGATAGTGCTCTTGGACAAGATGCAATCAGAAGCAGAGTTTTGAAAAATATTTTCGCCATTGGTGAATGGGGTCTTTTGGGCATTGTTATCCAAAGAAGTAACATTTCCAAATTGGTCTCAGTAGATATAATCAGGCACTGGCAACTTCCAGTCAGTGGGACAGTGAAACTTTTCTGGCTTTTAGTCTAAACTTTAAAGGAGCTATCTTTTTTTATGTGAGGAGTGACTTGAGAAACTGCAAGTTGCTTCTGGTGTGAGAGAATTGGCAGTCTGCAAGGACGTTGTCCAGGGGATGGCCAGATGTTTTACCTTGCTGTGGGAAGCTTCTCTCATGTCCCTGCATGGGAAGCTGGGGCTTCCCGGATTCGAACCTCTAACCTTTCTGTCATTAGTTCAACTGGCACAAGGGTTTAACCCATTGCGCCACCTGGGGCTCCTGAAGTGCTACATCTATTTGAAGAATAGGTTTAAATACTTTGGATAGATCCTTTAAAGGTTAGATTACAACTGGGGCTGGATTCCCTGTCCAATGATATAGGAACAACCATCTACCATGCATTGCTTCTGTATCTATTCATTGGTTTACCTCCATGCAAGCATGGACACTGATCACTAATAGGCTGCCGTTCCTTCTCTTTGCTCTTCTTGTTGCTTGCACTCTTAGAGAGAGAGAGATTTGAAGATTTCTCAGCAGTGAGGAAATCCAGTGCTGGAGGAGCTATGCTGGAGAGAGGGTGCCTTTAACAATCCGTTCCAATTTTTCCCAGTATAATGCAGCCATCTGGGTAGTGACTGATTTGCATTGGGACCTTTTTGAAGCAATGGGATTTTGGGGGATCTCCATGAGGTAATATGAAAATTAAACTGTTAAAAGTATAATTCAATATGCGGTTGTGATTCTGTATTACAACAGTCAGAGTTGACGGTTGTGATACAGAATCATAACTCAAATTTGGAAGGAATGAAACTGGAATGGTCGAAAAATGACATACAAAACATTCACATCTGTCACCTGCCATATGTTGCTCATGTTAATGTTTGGTTGGCACACCTGAAAAACAGTTGGGAAAGGTTTGGAAAGGAGAAACCAAATGATAAAATTCCCCTGTGAGAACTGCAGAAACAGTTCTCCCTCTTCCTTTCAGTAATCACAACCCTTTTCAACATACCTGGGCTTAGAGAACTGGGTTTCTAGGTAAGAAGTAGCAACTTGATTTCTCACTCTTTTCTGCATAGGTCATCTCTACAAAACACCATGGAGCA